GATGATGGTTTGTTTTTTAGAATAGTGTCCATTAGAACCATATTTCTGAATTAAAGTGTCATTTACTTTTTAATATGATATCAGTATTCAATTTTCGTTGCTTAAACTTTATAATATATTTTCTTTGTAAGTAATGATGGATAGTGGCTGGCCGTGGAATCCAGGACGCGCGTTTCGTCCTATTTGGGACTCGTCGGCTGGATGTACCAGCATCTCAGAGTTGATGTTCATTCTGGGACTCGAACCCAGTACCGTTCGCTTCAAACGCCATCACGTTATCCACTCAGCTACTGAGTCCTGATAGCTACGTGCTTGTGCAATGGGGTGAATTTAAATTCACTTGGTATTGTTTGGCGTTTGAAGCGAATGGTACTGGGTTCGAGTCCCAGAATGAACATCAACTCTGAGATGCTGGTACATCCAGCCGACGAGCCCAAATAGGACAAAACGCGCGTCCTGGATTCCACTGCTAACCAATATCCATCATTGCTTACAAAAAGCTTGTGAATTAAGGCAATATCGAGATATATGCACATATGCCGATAACAAACTGATCAATTGCAGTCTTTAAAAAAAGACTCAATGGGAAGATACAAGCAAAGCAATACCAAGTGAATTATAATATATTGTTTTTCAAAAACAATTTTAAGGGTTGGTAAATTAGATCAATGTAAATGAATTTTGGAAAATATTATCGATTTAATGACAAACAGAATTTCAAGGACATTGGTTGCATTGTAACCTTTAATTTCACTAATTTGTTTCCTATCCGATAAATTGTATCATATTAAGGTAAAATTTTAGCTTTAATCTCTTATTGGTTGAGAACTGGCTCTTTGCTTATGTTCAAAAATGTATTTTCTGACTACTTCTGTAAGCAAATAATAAGTTTAGCAAGTTCACTCATCCTCTTATTTTATCAAGCTAATTTCATTGTTACATGTAGCAAGATTTTTGTCAACTAAACATTCAGAATCCTATTATGCCTGAACAAATTGGGCAATTAATAATAACTCTATAACCTTATGTAGTTTTCTGTTGACTAATATTTGTGTCGGGCAGTATAGTTAACTGATTATTATTATTATTTTTTAGGTACCTAGTTCATCGATGAATAAAAGTACCATAAGTTAGTAGTTTATCTATAGGTAATGCTTAGATTTAGTAATCATTTGAATAGGATTGGTCAAAGTGCATCCAAGTAACAGGTTTATGTATACTTACAAAAACAACATTATCGATGTTGAACAGTATGTTTCCTAATTACTGTATTCTAGATGAAGAAGGAAATAAAATTGACACATTGAGTTCACATATATTATCTATTGATTCATATGATTTTATGGCTCTACCTTCAGTGTTGTAGGTAGTTGACAATTATTTTTCAGAGCCCATCACTATAGCACTAGTAATTCAGAACTTATTTTGTTAAATATTTCTTTGTCATTTTTCGAAATCATTCAGTGATAAAGGAAACGCCTTGACGTTTCCTAGACTACCTGGTAAAAATGTTCTAGGGTAGCAGTTACTTGCAACATATATACAATATAAATAAGTTTTTCCAACTATAAAGAAATGTGATTAGCTGAAGCATTTCATATTATGCTAAATACAACTACCCTCAATAGAAAGAAAGAAGGCCTGACTGGTCATCCGACTTTGACCGTTTATTCAACAAACCACATTTAACTTTTCATTTCACTCTGACACACAAATGCAGAGACTTCAACTCTACTTCGTATTACAAACCTTGCATTTTCCATGCTCATGTACATACAAAGTTGTCTCACACAGAATAACCTCTGCCAAAATAACATTACATTGATATAATTAGATCTATTTTAGTTAGACTAAGTATTCTAGCTTACTCCTCTAAATTAATAAAACATATTATTTGAATCCAGTTATTTATTCATTTACTCTGAAGTAGTGATTTATACTAAATCACGAAACTTCAGAAATTCACATTTCTACCCGTTGGGATGTCATAAATTGTGCGATTGTTTTATTATTAACTTCTTATTCAATGTTCAATTTATTTGAAATTATGAAGTTCCACTTTGATATTGATAACTAATATGAATAAGCTTTCTATAGTACTTAAAAAATCGGTACTCTTATACTTAAAATATATGTACATAGTATTAAAAAAAGGCACTCAAATATTTCTAAGGTAAAGTGCGACTATTATATATTTGTTATTTGTTGTTGTTTAACTTTAATCATCCTATTTCAAGGTGGTTGATTTACTTATGAACCTGTTAATCTATGTATGAAACATTATTGAGATTGTATTCTATGAACTGAATGGCTTAATTATGTAACTTTTATTGTTTTTATAGACAATAATAATATTAATACAAACTTCAAATAGAAGTAAGCTATTCCGATTTCTACTCATGTGACCTAACAACTAATTTTGTTGACTTTGATTTCCAATTAAATATTGTTAACATATATGTTAACAGTCTTACGTTTTGTTTGAATGGTTGTTAATAATTACCGTAGTTGCTGACTGACAGTTCTAAGATTATAAATATTCTGTAGTCCTCTTCATGTTGCTTCTGTCCAAGATTTTAGTGTTTTTTTGTAGTTGAATATATGCCTACAATTGTCTACATGTATTGATTCAAGCAAAGATATATCGTGACGTTTAATAACTGATTGGTGTTCATGTAATTGAAGACAAAGAGATGGCATCCACTTTGTCTGATCTAATAATTCTCACATTTAGAGAAGTTTATTTTGTATATAATGTTCGGTTTGTTTTCTTTTGTCATTTAGTTTTCAAGGTGAGGATTAAAGTCATTTTCTTAGCTTGTTATCAACATTCTTTCGTAATGGCTTCGATAATCTTATTGTAATGTCCTTCATATATGGTAAAATACTTCATCTTTATTTATTTCCCATTTTTGATTTAATGCTTGTTAATATGTTCGATAAACACTTTTTGATGAAGTTCCATTGAAACTCGTTCCTTTGAAAAACAGTCACTAATTATTTTTTCTTCGTTTCGTCTGTATGGTAAGTGTGCTACACTATATCTTCACTCTTTTGAATATAATCTGTACATAGTTAATTCTGTGAGTTGTTTTATTCGAGAATTTAATCTGTATGTGTGTTTGGTTTCGATACACGTGAATTTGCAGTTTTAACTGTTGGTTCCAGTGACCAATGAATTCTACTGAAAATATGTTGCTCAGCTGATTTTTCAATGGGGAATTTATTTCTACAACCTTGTTGATCAAGCTTTACGGACTTCTATCCCTTCCTTTTTATGGTGAAGAATGTGTCGAAATTACGGATCCACAATTTTGGTTTGATTATTGGTATAACCAAAGTTTATAGTCGCTGCTTGGGATATTGATGATCTCATTCGCGTTCTTTTCGTTTATTTGTATATTTCATTTACAAATTGAAAATATTTTATTGGGAATAAGTCGATGATGTCTAATAAATTTTGTCATGAAAGTTTCGCGTGTCTCAAATGATTTATATAAAAGAGCAGAATTTCAGCAAAATGACGTTCCTTAGTTAAAAATCCATTTCACTATCTCGAGGTAGGATACGATTTTGAATATCTTGTAATATAAACAGTAAATCAAATGCCAAAGTACAGTTAGTCGCTTCAGCACACTTCACTGATGTTTCGTAATCTTTTAAGTTACTGGGAGATATGATTTCTATTTTGACATCTTTTTGGTTATCGTGGTGAATATCGTCTTCTTGATTAAGTAACTACTTCTCTAGTTTCTCCTAAATTATCCTCTTTACTCTTATCATCATCAAGCTAAACTTGAGTTTTAAACTCTGAGTTTTCTATGTGGGGCTATTTTCTTTTCTTCTGGTAACACAAAGGCAAACTTATTTTCTCGTTTAAACATATTTGTAGTCAAAACATGTGCTGTAGAAAGAGTGAGAACCGTCTATTAAATGTTATAGCTTGTGGCAATGTGCCCTATCAATTTAGAACGTAATGATACCGCTAATTAGAGAAGAGTGATTTATCGACCGGACCAATGACGCGTAAACCTTGACGAGCAGTCTAGAGTCTTTATCGGTCCTTCTTCCAGCCTAGCCCTACCTGTTGAGTCCAGAACACCACTCTCAGACTCCGCGATATGAATCATATATATTTGAAACATACTGGTTTATATACAAAGCAGACAGACCACATCGTTCCATCAAATCGAAAATAGCCAAAAGTGGCTGTAGTTAATAGATGTATATAATCTAGTTACTGAATAGTTATACAATAAGAATATACGTATAATATTTGTTCATAAATAGTTCTCAGAAGTTGCGTATAATTTAATCTTCACTAGTATATAACACCAAGCTTCTCCAACAATAGCCGATGGTAATATGGTCTGTTCGCGTCTATCATTGAGTCGGCATGTTAGACGATATCTAACTTCATCCTGAAAGTTTGCTATTGCTAGAAATTAAAAGTTGTTTTAGCATAGTCTTTATTATCTGTTTAATGAGCTGATAAATCAGAAAACTTACCTACTTGTCTTCCATTTTGTCTTGCAATTGTGGCATTTTTACAATCAGGCTTTTCAAACCCATTCTTATTATTATTATGAGCCAGAATCGTTGCAGACTGAGGTTGTTTAGAAGAAGCATCCGACTGCCTTCATACTCCAGTACATCTGACTTCTCTTATGAACTATGAGATTACCTTTTTTTGAGTTTTACTGTTCTCCAACTGATCTGTCCCGTTGTGATATCAACTAAACGAATCAGTATCTTACTCAGTATTAGATCATCACAATGTTCAAACCCGATCACCACATCAACTTAGTAACTACAATCAAGATTTAAATCTAGTTTTACTGTTCATAAAATTTATCAAAATTCGTTCTTATTTTTTGACTAATCTTTCAATCGATCATATTTTGATATCAGAAAGAAAAACAAAATCGATTGTTTTTTTTATATACAACATAAGTATTACATTCCTATCGGTGTTTTGTTTTGTTTTGTTTTGATTCTAGAAATGAATATAACTATCTAAATAATAGAAAATATTTCGATATCATACAATTGCCATATTCGGTGTATCGTAAATCAGTCTATCGAGAACCATTAATTTCAAACTTTAAAGGAATATCAAATTGTTCATTATTAAGTTAAAATGTAACTTAGTATCTTTGCATATAATTCAATTGTCTTTTCCAAAAATTAAAATTAAAAATATAACATATCTCTATGTGAAATGTTGTCTAAAGAGAAATGTAGTTAAATATAAGAAATATTTATTTATTATTAGCTTTATTCAATATTATATTTTTGGTATAATATAGAATTGTCAGCACAAAATGTTTCAACGAGTTTCCGTTTCTTACATCTTGGTCGATATTGACGACAGATATTGAGTGGTCACCAGTTAAAAGTTAGCCATCCAGGAAATCGACACCTAAATAATGTACATTCTTTTCGCTGCATATTGACAGCAATCACAATATCTCTGATTGAACTCTTTTTTGTAACTTGTACAACGTAAAGTTGTACACATTTCAGAAACACAACTGAATAGGTTATGTGATTGATAGCCATAATGATGTATTAAAACAAACAAGAAAACGGATAACTTGTTGAAATATCTAGATGACAGGGACAGGTAGCCCAGATATTCAATCAGGCCGTCACAGTTAAAAGTCAATAATTACCAATCAAGATCGAGGTCGACAGGACAAGCTTTGAGTCATAGGTGGCGAAATTTGAGTACTTCACTTCTACCTAAATTTTGTTCTGATGTTGTTCAGAAGAACAATGAAATCTCCACAACCTAAACATCCAGCTCAGAGGATTGTTAAAATATCTAGATGACAGGAACACGTAGCCCAGATATTCAAATGGTTAAATTACCAACAATGATACACTGTTTTACTTTTTTTTTAAAAATTGAGAAGTCTATATGGTTAATTTTAAATTTTGCCACAAATAATGTCAGTTTATCACTCTCGATAAAAGTTCAATATTTAGCTTTTATTCAAACATTATTCTATTCATTTAGTAGGTGAGTAGGGATTTTATTTCAATCATCTAAGGCTATCTACGAATCTCTTCTATGAACATGTAACTGTAGTGCCGAAGGAAAAAGCGAATAAAGTGGAAGTTTGAAGTTGAAATAAAATCCCCAGTGTAAGTTACGCTCTTATATCCAAAACTTACCCATTAGATGAATGGAAAAATGCTTGATACCGCATAAATACTGAACATTGGAGAATGGATGCACAATCTTTTCCGATTCGTGACATGTCTGTATTAAAGCGAGATTATCAAATGACTTACTGAAATTTAGTTTAGATCGATCGATTGATATTAAACAATGACTGGTAACAGTCCATAAAACTGGATTATTAATGTAAGCTCCCAAATAAACTACTATCGAAATAGGTATCATTACCAATGTTTGACTTAATAATTTCGAATAAAATGAGCATTCGATAGGTTGCCGATTTAAATCGGCAATAGCATTTCACGCCATTTTCAACAACCACCAAATCGATTTCAAAAATATCAACATATTAAAAAAGGTTTTTCCAATTACAGAGAAAGGAGAGTAGCTGAAGCTTTCCATATAATGCTTAATCCTACTGCTCTCAATAGAAAAGCAGGCCTCACTATACATCATATCTATCCTAGCCATCTAGTCTGATCTTGTTCACAATCCACACTATTACCTTTCTCGCCATAAAGGTCACACATTTTTGATCCTTAACCATACACACATACAAATTTACATACATGTCGCTTATTAATCACCTTGACCGGAATGACATTGATTTGTTCAGACTTGTTTTTTTGACTGAACACATATGTTCTTGTTGTTCCGTTGTACTATTTAAACTTGAATTGATTTTGATTTGGTTATTTATTCTCTGAATAAGTGGCTTACACTGAGTCACAAAACTTTGGAAAATTTAATTTTTCTACTCATTGAGATATTCCAAATGTATTAATTTGCTTATACTATCGAAATACATCACAATGGATCAGCGTAGAACTCTTTTCGAGAAAAAAATATTTTTATTTACAAAATAATGAACATGGTGAAAGGAGATTGAAACCTATGAAACTAAATTATACTTCACCGCCATTGCAAAATCATTTGTTATTTGAACTTATTAACTAAGTGGATGACTTGTTGATGTTTGAAGCCAAAGTCACTGGGTTCAAATCCAGGAGCGAAAAACAATCGTGAGATGCAGGTACATCCAACTGACGAGTACAAACTGGGACGAAACACATCCTTGATTCCATTTCTAGCCACTATCCATCTCTTCTTAAAAAAGGGTTATTTAAAACACTAGTTACATAGATTAGTCATAATTCAAGTAATTCAAACCTAGTGTCTAGGCACTATTGAGACCCCATAGTAGACCAAATCCAGCAGCTAGGTACTTGAAGTTGATTTGATTCAAATAGGATGAATAGTGTCCAGAACTCTTTGATTCCGACCGCCGTTCATAATAAATCCTCATATTTTTGCTGCATATTATAAGCTACACATAATTAGTGAGTATCATATGTAAGTAGTCCCAGTGAATTTGACAGTATAATTACTGAATTATCAGATATCGTAGTAAATTAAACAGTTCAAAGTAACGAATTCATGTAATGAAGTAGAAAAATAAATCCATACATGAGAAGTTGATAAAAGCAAGTCCAAAACCCAAGTCAACTTTACGTTTTCTACTTGTTTGATGGATAAAAATTCTGGGAATAATTATCTGTTAAGAAGTGTTTAACTATCACCAACTGTTAAATAAATAAGAATCATATGAATGTTCGTGTAGAATTTTAATTCAGTGAATTATTATGCTATAGGTAACGAAAACAGAAATGAAAATATAACAGTCGATGTTAAACACAATATATTTAATACAAAAATGTATTGAAATCAAGAACTCACTAGTCATAACAGTAACTGATGATGTAGATGTGGTGTATGCTACTTATGTTGACAGACATATAGTAGTATGTAACACCAATCGCTAGTGGGAAACCTGGCAGCAGATAGCTAAGAAGATAGAGTTCAAGATAATAGAAGGGAAAATAGGAAACAATTACGAACTGGAAGAATCATACAGAATGTGAAGTACAAGTTATAGAACTTTACAAATAAAATATTCAGTGTATGATTCTCATATTTTACCAAGAGATTCTTTTTTTCAATACAGTCGGTTACCGCCACCCCCGTGTTCTTGTTCACTACATATATGTTACACAAAAACCAATTTTCATATGATCAGTTTACAATTTCTTAGACTATATAAAACAGATAATAAAATCACTTCAGACCATTTAAGGATAACTGTATATAGCTTTTGGCAGGTCAAAACTCTGTGAACATCATTTGCTTAAATAGTGTAACGAAGCTTTTGTTGACTAGTAATAACTAGCCTAAAATCTAGGTTTTCGGCTTCCTGTAGATTCTTTACACATATCTAACAAAATAGCCAACCAGTGTTTGGTGTTTAGTTAGTTTGTTGAGTAGTAGATGAGATAAACATCTTTTCACATGTTTTAATTATCGGTTATATTTAAAAAAAACCATAACTTTCTTGTTACTGAAATAATCTTTATAGGTTGAATTTCATAATGAACAGAGGTATTACGATGTATATTGCTGATTCAAATTCCTACCAATCATAATTGTGATTACAATTTTACAAAACTTGTTTCATGACCAAACACTATTTTCCATGAGATAATTATGAATATTATTTTCTTTGAACCATCCGACAAACATTTGTACTGTCTTTGTGCGTTTTGAGTGTGATTACTTGAAGTTTAGGACGAAGGAGTTCAATCTGGTACAAGTGTAACTATGTCGGATAAAAATTATTCAGTTCAGTTTTAAATCGCTGATTTATAGAATATCAATGAAATGAATTAGTTTATGAAGAACTCACCTTTCAACTATTGGGTGTGGGATTAAACTCTAATCAAACGGCCTTGATTTAGTTACTTGGAATGTTACTCCATCAACTACTTATGATTAATAAATTATTTTAGCTAGTCTGTTATCACACATTTAAGTGATTTGTTCTAACCTTTCGATGGAAAAATGGATCAAATCTCTCCATTTATCCTATCACACATATTTTTGACCTTGCTAATTACTCACGTGTAACCACTTCGAAAATACTTGATTAGCTATTTTTTACAAGAGAAGACAAGAACTGTGTAGGAGGCCTTATCTTGAAAAGTCAAACAAGAATGCTTTGTTTTCATGCTTGTTAATTAGTGATGAAACAGAGCTTTGTAAAGTGAATGTTCCTAATAATAATATATCATCTATACTTGTAAGTCATCCACCCAGTGGTCTGTTGAGTTATGACTGTGTTTTAGCAATACAGTAGTCTTCTCATTAATTTGAGATCTTAATACGATAGTGAAGCTTTGAGTGAACAAATATTTCAGACCTTTCTATAGATGCATTTGGAGAACATTAAAAAACGTTTCTAAAGATAATACATTTACGAAAATAACATTTATTTAGATCGGTATCAATACCAAGGTTGGACTTGATAGTTTCAAATAAATTGAGCATTAGGTAGAGAGTTGATAATAAATATATTTTTGTTATATCCCAATGAGTAGGAAAAATGTATTTCTGACGTTTCATGACTTAATGTAAGCCACTTCTTCAGAGTAAATTCACAGAGTATGGAACGTCAGAATTACAAATATATATATATATATATATATATATATGTTACCGAAATGGGTTTTTGCGGAAATTTAAGTAATTTTATAGTTTAATTCATGAGTATATTGGAGCTAAACCACTATGGACACCGGCTCAATGGTCTACAGTTTAAGCGTCCGTGCGTGAGGCCGGTAGATCCGGGGTTCGAATCCCTCGGAGCGGGATCGTGTATGCACACTGCCGAGGAGTCCGATACTAGAAGATGAAACGGTCGTCAAGTGTTTCCAGGTTTTCCACGATGGTCTAGTTTCAATTGACTCATGCATTCAACTATAAAATATATATTTATTATTTAATTAAATCATCGATGTTGTGACAACAGTTTCAAGTCGGTAAATTAAAATATCAATACAAAAACAGACTATAATTTCTTTTAGAAATGGTAAATTGATTAGTAAGGCGTGAAACCTGATGGCTACCTTTTATTGAATTGTGTGTTAGACAAGGTTTACGTTATTGATTAATATTAGAAGTAATACATTGAATTTTCAGAACTCATAATTAATTTTATTGACAAATCAACCTGAAATATTTTAAATA